GCAGAGAACTGAGCCCCAGGGACAGATACACGGCCGGGAATGAACGGAGACAAGCTGGAAAAACAGAAACACCTGGGAAATAAAATAAAATAAAATAAAATAAAATAGAATAATTAAAATTAAAATGACGTAAAATAAAATAAAAATTAAAAAAATTTAAAGTTAGATTAAATAAAAATGCAATGCAATGCAATGAAATGAAATAAAATTAAAATTAAAATTAAAATTAAGTAAAATAAAATGAAATAAAAATTTAAAAAAATAAAATTAAATAAAAATGAAATGAAATGAAATGAAATGAACTAAAATAAAATAAAATAAAATAAATAAAATTAAATTAAATTAAAATAAAATAAATTAAATTAAAATAAAATAAAATTGAAATAAAATAAAACTAAACCAAAATAATATAAAGTTAAAACTAAATTAAATTAAATTAAATTAAACTATACTAAACTATATTAAACTAAACTAAAAATCAAATCAGATCAGGAAATTCCCTTTTTTTTTCCCGGTTTTTCCCGTTCTTTCCCTCTCTGTTTATCCCGGGTTAATCAATAACCGGGAACGCTCCGAGTTCTGCCCCGGGAGGGCAAAATTTGGGAAAAAAATCCGGGAATTTGGGGTTTCTGTTCCCGGGAATTCCTCAGGAATTCTTCAGGAATTCCTTCCCCGTTAATTCCGGGATTTTTGCGTTGGGATCGTTGGCTCCGAGGATTTTTTGGGAATTATTTTGGGAATTATTTGGGATTTTTTAAACATTTTTCTGATTATTTTACCGGGATTTTTCAATCGAATCCAAGGATTATTTTGGAATTATTTTAGGAATTATTTCGGGAATTATTTGGGGATTTTTGGGATAATTTTCCCATTATTTTCGTGGGATCCTTCAATCCCAGAATTATTCAGGAATTTTCTCCTGGATTTTCAAGGATTCGAAGCCCTCAGGACCCGAATTTTTGGGATCATCGCAATTCCCTGAGCAGGGCAGGGGGAGGGAAGGAAAACCCTTGGAAAAATCCC